TGCAAATAGATTTCATAAACATTCAGTGCTTACTTAAAAAAACGTATTATTTAACAACCATTTCCTAGCTGTCTACCTACCCTATGTGGAGCTTTACATGGCACCTGGGACAACATAGTCAAAGATCAATGATATGCAAGAAAAATCTGACAGTCTGAACGGCAGGTACAATCTTTAGATTAAGAGGTCTGATATGTTAATAGAGGAGAAATAAGGATAGTAGAATGAAACTGGAGTTGGATTCCAAAGACCTGTCCTAGGAGACCTGGCTTCACTACTTTGCTTTCCTGGGGCTTGTTTCCTCAACAACACGGGGCTAACGACCGACCGTCCTACATTCTTAGCTTAGGGGGATTGTGAAAATCAGGAAGGAAATGAGTGTGACTCCACTCTGTAAACTAGAATATGCAAATGCATGTCATTAGTACTTGAAATAGTCAATTTGTATTTATAAATGGCCCCTTTGTATCGTTCACATATATATCAACTATTGATGTACTTCAGGTTGGACAGTAAACATCAAACTCTTGCCATACAATTTTCCACTCGGGTTTTTCAAAGTGAGCCCTGGGACAACCATAGATATGAAAGCACATGGGGTCTTCAGAATATACCATCTTTGATGGGCATAATCCCCTCTGACGAACTTTTGAGGGGCATGAAGTAATTACTTACCGCCTAGCATCCTAAACATCGACAATTCTCATGTCCTTGCCTATATCCTCAATTTTTCTTTTACATCGACCTCCAGCCACACCCACTAGGCTTCTGATGGTTCTTTTTCCACTCGGATTCTTCACATGTGTGGTTCAAGTTCTGCTGATCTCTGTAAATCTCCCTTCTCAGAGAGCCCTTCCTGAGCTGCCCTCCCTAAGTTAGGCCTCTTTATGTTTGTGTAAGAGCCACCAGGACCCTCACACATGCACACGCTTCATGTGGTGACCTGATGGGCAGGTTTCTGTTGCGGAAAACTTGAGGCAGTGCCGGCAACAGGCGCCTGAGAAGTATGAGCCGGGGCGCCTGGGGGGCTCAGTCAGTTAAGCGTCTGACTCTTGGTTTTGGCTCAGGTCCTGATCTCAGGGACCCAGTCTACCACCTAATATTTTAGAAAATAGTTTAATAAAACCGGTTTATGACTCACCAGACACAAAAGATCACATTTTCAACACTTCATTAACAGAAGTTGATTCTGTGCCCATTTTATACTAATCTCCAAGATGAAGCTCTTCCGAGAGGGAGTTCTGCCTTCCTTCCTTCCTCTTTCTGTGACAAAAACTCTGCCAAACCTACTGAAGCCTGACTTTGCTAATCAGTTACTGAAAATTGAGTCTCCATTTTGGGGACCCTGCATAACCATCATTTCAAAGCTACTTTTGACTAGTTCTGGACATCCCTGTTCTGTATCGATCAGAGGGAGGTCATTGTTCTATAGGTTATGAGAGTGAAGGGAGTTGATGTATATAAGGCAAAGGTAACCAGTACAGAGCTTGCTCTTACCATTGCATGAATGGATGAAAACCTCGCTGGATTCCTTCAGTTTGGGGGATCACATTTATCTAGGTTCATAAGGAACACTATCACTGTGGATGCACTATTTCTATAGTCTTATGCTTGTGTGAAATATTTGGCAGAGAACACAGTATACAAAGTTGCCAGATCCCCTTGCAAACAAGTCAGAGGTCTTCAGGTTTAGACCCATCTTACTCTCTCTTCTCAAAGGACAGAAAGGGAAATGTGAAAGGTTTACAACTCACCAAGCACTCAACACCCAGTCGCTCAGTCTAAGCTTTTCTAAAAAACCCAAAATGGGTAAGAAACTTACTTCATATTATAAAGACTAGGAAATATGCACTATGTATAAGAAGAAATAATCTTGAAAACTGAGCAAACACTGATGTCACAAAGTTATAGTATTCAGTATCCAGAGAGCAATTTCATGTGATAGTCATTCTGCCTGTGACTGAAGTGAAAGGCAAAACTGAATTCTTTGTACCTCAAGCAGATCACCTTAGAATAAATCAAGCAAATGTATAGTTACTATGAAATAATCTTACCTGTTAATTCTCAATAGATAGCAATGTGGTTTGAGGACCACTGGAGAGCCCTGAGTAAGTTCCCAGCCTTTCCAAACTCATATCCCTGAGGCCAGACTTTTTTCATGTATTTCCACCAAAACAACATAGCACAGTGGACTGAATGCAGAAGCTGATAAGAGAATTCAGCTGTATTCTATTAAGCCAGGCAATAAAAAGATTTTCAAAAATGTAAAAAAAAAATGCCACTCTTCTCACAAATTTTTATGTTGGGAGTTCTTTATAAAATTATAATTTGACAGGGCCGCCTGGGTAGCTTGGTCTTAGGTTAAGCATCTCTTGATTTCAACTCAGGTCATGATCTCAGGGTCGCGGGATCCAGCCCTGCATAGGCGTGCTGCACTTGGAGCCTGCTTCAGATTCTCGCTCAGTCTCCCTCTATACCCCGCTCCCCCAGCTCATACTCTTAAAAAAAATTATAATTTGACAGGTAATGGGGTTACTGTAAAATCAGTATTTTTAAAGTTGCTCAGTTTTTATTTCAAATACAGTAAATACCAATATGACCCACATAAACATAAAAATTTGGGGGGCTATCAATAATTTTTAAGGTGTAAAGGGGGTTCTGAGACCAAACTGCTACATATACCAACTCTAAGCACTCATAATAAAATGGCAGAGTGTGCTTGGAGCACTTAAAAAACAGCTGCAAGATGTATAGTTAAGAAAAATCAAATGAAAAAAAGAATGCAGGGTTTCACAGTCCAGGACTCAGTTATTTAAAGTAATGACATTTATTTTAAAGAGTAACAAATAAAACCCTTGTTTGCCCACCAGGACTTTCAAATCCCTCCAAAATCCCTGGGAAGCTAAGCATCTGAGCTGGCTGGATGGTGATTCCTCACCCGTTGGGCTAAGCAAGTGCAGTGTGAAGGGGTGCCGGGGGCTACTTAATGTCTGCGAGGAACAATGCATTAGCGAGGCTGCCATTATTAAGAAGACACACACATACACACACCCACACACAAAAGAAGACACACAAGAATTAAGTAAATTCTTAAGAAGTAAAAGTAAAAAACCAACAAACTCTTTCATGGATAGATTTTTTTTCCCTACGGTCTTTATATCTGATTGCTTATCTGGATATAAGAATAGGAAGATCTTAGTCAACAAAACTGGGAGAAGTCAATAGAAAATTTGAGATCTCTACTGCTTCTAAAAGCTGGGAACATTCTAATGAGGGTTATTTGTGTGGCAAATCCCATACCACTTTCATAGTTTTCTGCCTCACATCTTCACTAATGTGGTTAAGTAGAAGTGAGTCAATACATTCACAAAATAGCTCATTTGCAATTTCCTTGTCTAAGAAATTGGAATTAAACTCAGGCAGATAGGAAAAACCTCAGAAATCAACTTAGTATCAGTCTCTAAGGCTTTCTTAACTACACACTGCTTTTGAGACTACAACCGGAATATGAGCTGTTGGGTTTGTTGCATAAATGGCGTGCATGTGACGTGTTGAGCAGTGACTGATGCTGAGTCTTGATATGTAAGCATGTTTACAAAAAATAAAAATGAGAGGCAGAGAAATAGTGTGCTATGTCCATGCCAGTAGATCTGACACATCATTATGTATCCACCACTTCCAGATTTTAAGTTCATTTTAGAAAAGATGTATTCGGGCCCAGAGAAGTCAGGTAAATTGATCAGTGTCACATAGTGTGCATGGTCGAAATGGGCGTAGATCTGCTTCCAAGTCCATGCTCTTTCCACAATGCAATGCTGTCTCCCAGGAGAGTTGAAACACAAAGCCAATTTACTTCATAAACCTACTTACTGGGCGTGCTCTGTGCTTAGGACAGTTAGCTTTATATTTTACTAATGTGCTTCATAAATACTTGAGAAAGTAACTATAGGCCTCAACTTATTGACTACCCCAAACCCAACATAATGGGTATCATTCAATTTATTATAAACAAAAAGGGGAAACACCCAAAGTCCCATACAAGAACATTTGTGGTTCCTGAAGATTTTATCAGGTTAAAAAAAAAAAAAATTAGGCAGAAGCCGGTGAAAAGGTGAAGGGGTACAGGACCGGCAGAAGGGAGCCCAGCAGACTATTTTCTTGCCAACTCCAAATTATTCGGGGGTATTTAGACCTTTCTTTGAAGTATCACTTAGTAACCCTTACAGAAATAAATCATTACATTGGATGGATTCCTTAATGAGGCAATTCTTTCCTTTCAGGGGCTCTGAAACAAAAATACTGACAAGATAGCAAACTGTATGTTGAGGTGCCATCATACATGAGCTGGGGCTGGCTCCCTTCTGTCTTCAGCGACATAATATAGGAAGGAGGCATAGTACAGAAAATGCTTTACAGATAAATCTTATTAGAAAAGAATTTTTAAACACAAAAGTTTAGAAAGAAAATACTTATTTCCTCTGAGAACTGTATGTATTTGAAAAGGTGATGCTATACCTCTCAGTTTAATGAAAAAATTCACTTAAGATTATGTGTTTTAAGTATCAGTGAAGATATTCTCCATGCTGCCACCAGAGCCTGGCTTGATTGCTCTGAAGTAACAACACTTGAAAGCTCCTATTCTTTGAAACTAATTTAAACACATTGAATTGTTGAAAGATTAAAAACCACAGTCAGCTAATTACACTCTCTCTCATCTCTTATTCAGCAAATGAATCACTTTTCATTACCACTTAGCTGAAGTACATGAATTTCTGCCTAATTAGAAATGTTGTAGATGGAACATTAGCAAGAATGGAGCGGGTCAGGATATCTTTGCTGCTTCATTTTTAATTCCTAATAGTAGAGTCTGAGAGGAAAGAATAGAGAAGTCATTAAATAATTTTAAATTATTTATAAAAATTACTTTGCCCAAATTATAATTATTTTTTCCCCAAACGGTCTCAAATGTCTAACAGAATGAAAGAAAAAGCAGTTCAACATTGATTTTAATGAACATTTTAATGTTATGTATAACAGAACATTATGAATACAATGGAAACAAAGTTTTGTCAATTTAATAAAAAAAATTTCAACACAAAGTGGGGAAGTAATAGTTTGATACCTATATTGTAGTATTTATTTTTAAAAATATTCCCAGCTTGAGGGTAAAACAATTAATTTTGCATTCCAAACTCTAGAATCATGATTTTCATGTGAGCTTAATGCAGAATTACAGCAGGAAAACGAAAACATTTTAATTAATTTCCTTTATTTGCCATTAAATCAATAAAATCTTTGACTGCTACAGGTCTCCTTTAATATAGAACTCTTCTCTATTGGAACCATATTGCTAATGCCATAGTATATACACTCAAAACCAAAAGAAAACGAATACTGTATAAAATCTAAAAGCCAACATTGTTGAGTTCTAACATTTGTATTTAACTTAAAGTTTTAATGAATTTTTACCTTTTCAATTTTTTGAAAAGACACCAAAAAAATAAAAATAAATATTTTTCTCTTTTGACTGTTCCTGACTGATAAGTGGTGGCTACAGGGATAAACACGGAAGGAAGCCTTGCCAAGTTAACCACTGCAAATTGTAAATAATGACTGCTAAAAACAAACAAAAATACTGGAGGGTTTTTTTTTCTTTTAAAGGAAACCATAGAGCAGTCCTGAAAAAAAATATTTTTCCTAGTTCTGCAAAGGATAATTATAGCAGAAAATATGGGAAAAGTACATAGCTATCACCAATTGCTTGAAGAAGTTTCATTACAATAAAAATTTGGAGAGTATAATAGTAATAGCAGTGTTGCTGGAACATTAGCAAAAGTATATACATTCCAGTTACCTTTGATTTAGCCATAATCACATATGTATGCCTTTTTTGGACAAAAATATATATTTTTATAAAAAACTGATCATCCAACTTTAATGATTTCATTTATGGACTCAAGAGTGGTAGTAAAAGGAACAGACCCAATTATGACAAGGCGATTCAGGGACAGAAAAATCAAGTTCCTCAGGAAAAGAAAAGTATAAAATTAGAGATTCAAACACATTTATTCAGCCCTATTCCAGTCTTCCCACAAATCATGATGTTAAAATGGGCTCTTCAATTTATAAAGGCTTTCAAGGTCTCAATACCCCACTTGTGGTCTATTCTCACTGGGAAAAATGATTTTGACTGCCTTATCTGAAGTGCCCTCGCCTGGCCATCTGAAATACTAGATACTTCATTTTATAAAACAGCCTTTTTGGTTCTTTATGTAGGTTTATTTTAATTAATTGATAAAAGGGGAGTTGATTAGCATTTTCCATCCCAACATCACCTATCTTCAACATTAAAAATCCTTCATTCAATCTGCTCCTTTACAATCTCTCATTTGCTAAAGTTGGCGAAATTTGCAAAGGCATCTTGCTTGGGTTGCACAGTTCCAGAAGTCATGGCTAAGTTAGGCATGCCCATTCCCATTGTGCCTGTGAGGCCCATCCCAGCAGTTGACATCCCCATGTTCATGTTCATGCCCATCATGCTCTGGTTCATCATTGGAGTATTTCCAAGAGGGGCCATTCCCATGGTGCCAGTCATCACACTGGGCATGCTCATAGGCATGGGTCCCCCCATCAAAGGGTTAGTTTGGGGTCGGACAGGAATTATATTTGATGGAGAACTGAGGTTCACAGCTCCAAAACTTTGGGTCATCACATTCATAGGCTGTTGCATATCTACCAGAAGAAAAGAGACAAACAACTTTACATTAGATTCAACAAGCAGAATAATAATACAATCTTTCTGACCATCAACACTTGTAAGCCCTAATAAAATTCTTTACAGTGGTTTTATAAGAAAAGTCGATTAACTCGCATTATTTGCTCTAGAAAAATACTCTGTGGTTGTTAACTCTGGTTTCCCAAAGATGTAGAAACAGTTGGGAGTGGGCTGGGGGAAAACATGAGGCACTTTAATTTTTTAAGATTTTATTTATTCATTTGAGAGAGACCGAGAGAGTGAGCGAGAGCATAAGCAGGGGAGGGGTAAGAGGGAGAGGGAGAAGCAGACTCTCTGCTATGCATGGTGACCAACGTGGGGCTCCATCCCAGGACCCCGGGATCATGACCTGAGCCAAAGTCAGATGCTTAACTGACTGAGCCACCCAGGCGCCCATTTTTTTTTTTTCATGAGGCACTTTAAAATCATTCTGATGAAATATATTGTTGAATTCAACCTAACGAGTGGTCAGGAGCTACTATGAATCAAAGGCCTTGAAAAACTTCATACCCTTTGATTCACTCTATTTTTAGAACATTACATTAAGGAAAAAAATCTCAAGTACAAATATTTATATAAAATCATGGAGTTATTTATAATAGCAAAGAGCTGGAAACAACGGAAATAACCAACGATAAAGAAACTGTACACTGATATAATGGATAACTATAAATATTTAAAAAATCATTTTTCCCTCACAATATTAAATACAGGAAAAATGGTAATTTAATGCAGAATGACAACTGTAAGAAACAAAACAATATAAACAGAATGATTTCAAATATTAAAAACATGGTTAGAAAAGACAGAAAAAATATTAATGGTGATTATTCCTGGATTATGGAGTTAAGATGATCTTTGTTTCCTGGTCATATTTACCTAGATATAAAACATTTTCTACAACAAATATTTTCATTTTAGTGATTAGATTCCCCAAACTCACCAAAATATAATCAATGTCATCACGCCAAGAGCAGAAAACAAAGTAACCCAATATGCCAGTATCACAGGAAAAAAATCCTAAGCAATCACACAGTTGCCTTCAGTATGGTCTGCATCACGTATTCTTATTTCATGGCCTGAACTAGTCCTGGCATCAGGGTAAAGATTACAAGTGCACAAAGAAGCAAGATGTCTTGTGGTAACTCACTCTGCTGTTGAATCATTGTATTGAGCGATGGCTGCTGGGGTTTGGAAGGCTGCATTCCAGGTAGTAAGTTGTCTAGGCTGATGTTTACACTGGGGTCAGACCAAGTAGAGGGCAGGGTTTTGCTGACTGGCTTCTGGACCATATCTGTATTCTGATTATAGAGAGGATTAGGCTTCTGCAGCACTGTGCTAACATTTTGCAAAGGCTGGAAAATAGAAAAATGCTCTAAAAATTAAGCATTTGCTCTATAAAAGTTATCAAATGGCAATTTAATCACAATAACTTCAGATACACACTAGATTTAGTAACAAACTCCTGAAACCAGAAAGAACCACAAAAGTTCTAGGCTGTTCTTTAAGCTGAATCACTAGCTTACCCAAAAGGTTCCTCTGAATCCCAAATCATGTTTGGGGTTAAAAAAAAAACCCACAAAAACCACCAACATATTTATATGAACAATTACCCTCCCATCACCCAAAGTCTAGATGCCATCATCCCACCCACGGCAACTACCAACTTCAGGTTAGGACAGCTTTAAGGAAATATACAAGTGGAAATTTATTATTACAAGATGGAATTCAGGATATGATTTCTCATGCTATAAAAAGCAGAACTATCAAAGCAGCAAATTATACTGCATAAATTCTGACATTTTCCTGCTCTATGTACACTTCTATTGCCTAAAGTGAGCAACATTAGTGGAACTTGATATATGTGGACCAATTCAGGATAGGAGAAATTCAGGAGAAAGAAGCAGGGATGCCTCGTAGTTACTAAAGATAACTATGAAAAGGATAGAAAAAAGGAAAAGGAATAGAAACAGGAAAAATAATTAAAAATGTACCAATGTAAATAATTACAACACAGCGGCAATTAAGACTGCAAATAAGTAGATTGGCTTTATGTTTAGACCACGTGAAAGAAACGCAAAAGAATAATGTGGTTTGGGCTTGTTTAGTGGTGCACAGTTCAATTTAATGGTACTGGTGTGCCCTTCATGTCGTTTTTCTTAATGTTAGGTCCAACTTCGGTTATATAGAACATCACCTTTCTGCTTCTTTCTTCTCTTCCTCCATCCTAATACCCAAAAGAGGAGAATCTACACATTAAAATGAGTAATTAGCATCATAAAAAATATTCTGAATTGCCTGAATCGAAAACAGCAAGTTCCTGGTACAACTCAGACAGATATACTCTAACTCTGTGCTTGTGTGAATTCTTAGTATTAGGTAATTTAGATTTAACTGTAAAAAAGTGAAGTAAAAAACTCCCATTTAGTTTTCTTTATGAAAATGAGAGGTGACAGAAGAGCCTATATAAAAATTACATAATGTAGAGCAGGCCTAAAATAGGGAAAAGTATTCATCATCTTAGAGAATGATTTTCTATATTAGTAACGACTACTTGCAATCAATGACATTTTTTTGAGGATTAAAGATTTTACTAAGTGAATATAGGTCAGGGTGAAGCAATTATCTCTATTCCTTATTAAAAATAGATTTTTTAAACTACTAAATACCAAATTGTTTATGAATTCAATAAATTTTTAGCAAGCGCCTTCTCTGTGCAACGCATCATGCTTGGCTTTGCATGGACTACAAGATGGGTGAGAAGGCCTTGCTCTCCAGAACCCAAATGACTACCAGCGGACAGAGTCTAAGATAAATGCAGTGTGCAAAAACAATCTATGTATGGCTTTTTTTTTCTGTCTCACAATAGTCTACCATTACATTAGTTACAGAGTCTCAAAGACTAGGAATCAAAGTTTCCAAGGGAGGCAGACAACTTACCTGTGATCTTGACATGGGCAACCCCAGGCCTACAGTATTAGTGCTCATCATAGAGAAATTCATACTCTGGGAAGATGTCATGGTTGCCTGGGATGAGCCCATAAGATCAAATAGGTCCGAAGAATTTGAGGCAGCTGGAGGTGGGCCTAAAGCTGGTTGTGAGCCACTGACAAGTTCTACAGATGGCTGTGAGGCACTGCCAAAGAGCTCACCACTGGAGGCACCAGGGCCTGATGGGGCTTGGTTGAAGGCACTCCAGTCACCAAAGTCTCCATTCCCACTTGTTGCTGTAACTAAGAAGGAACAGTGAGGGTAAGAAACTTTCTGAAATGCGCAGACCAAAATAACAATCTATGAAATGAAACAAATTAGAGCTGATCTGTGTCCATCCAGATTAACATCTGCAGGTACCATCTCCATCTGGACATTATTTTTCTCATGAATATTCCACAAATGTTAACAAGGTGGCAAAGGAAAAAAAAATTCACATATAAAGTAAAATCCACCTCTTAGCAGGTCTGAGGTGATACACAGAAATTACAATCAAAACTTTCCTTCATCCTATGTTTGCATATCATCAAATATACTGCGAGCTAAACAAATATGAATTAGCCTAAGACCCTGAAGAGCAAGAAAACTTAACTAGTTAAACTTTTTGCTGGGAGATTGAGAATCCTCAAGTGAGGAGACACTCAATAAAATCAGAAAATTCAACTCATTTCACCCATTCATTACTTGGAAAGGTTTAAAGAGAAATAAAACTATGATTTATATGGTCTCATGTAAATAAAATCCCAAATTCATGAGATAAAATTCAGAAAGAAACAAAACAGAAAAGCATGGAAAAGAAAAACTCAGTAAAATTAAGAGTAGGGTTAGTAAATTTCTGTAAGAAGTTCTTACTCTTTTGGCCATGCTTTCATTGACAACACAAGGGCCACAAGACAGCCATGGTATAACCTTAGTACAGTATTTGCCTCAAATCGGACTGTTCAATTTATTTATTTAAATAAAAAGCGGGGTATAGAAGGGAACTCAATGCTAATATTAAAAAAGGGGGGGAACTCTTATCATTACAAAGATAATTATAACAAGTTTAAGATTTAATGCATTATATAAAAATTGATAATTAATGGACTATAGTGTTTAAGAAGAGCATGGTTTTTGTACCTTACCAGATGAGTGACCCTGGGAAAACTACATAGCCCCTCTGTGTCTCACTTTCTAAAAAATCTAAGTAGTGAAGATTAAATATTTTTTTGTGTGAGGATTAATTTAATATATAAGTGCATTTAGGGTTTATTCTTGTTACTATGGATTAATTGTGAAAATGCAGAGGAGGACCAAAGGCACCACATTCACCTTCCTTTAGGTATGCCATAAAACAATGTAGGTCAAGCTTCTAAAATTCTGTATACATACTATTTGGAACACAATAAATATAAAGGCAACTGATAACAAAAAAAATTATTTAAACAGACTATGCATGACTCTAAGTAAATAAACCTTTCTTTGAGAAAGGGACAAATAGATAAATATGAATTAATGGAAGTTGAAAAAGCAAAGGTGAAGAAAGAGCTCATATAAACTGTCATCTGAAAGAGAACAGTATATATTTCCAAGTTAATTAACACCATCTCTTTGTACTTCATGTTCACTTACAACTTGGAAATACATTTTGTCTAGCCTGAAAGGTAACCAACCACTCCATACTATGTCTTATTATGCTAAATATCTACAGGAACAATAACATTAAGTCTTTAAAATTATATTTCTCTATTACCATATTAAAATGTGAGCCTCTTCAAAAGAAAATAATTCACTTAGAAAACCCACGCTCTACCAACAATTTAATACAAGAACTGGGCTAATATTCATTACCTCAGGGTTTTACTAAAACATGTCTTTTATCTTTACAAAAAAGACTGATTTAAGAGTTTTACAATTAGTTCTATATATTAAACAATTTAAACTAATTTAAGAAAGACTTGAAGGATGAAGGTAAACTTTATGCTCATTTCCTATATGCTTGATCTATGAAACAGAGTAAGAATGGAAACTGGGGCAATATGTGTTGCCCCATCTGAAAACCTTATCTGAGATGATTAATCATAGGAGGAAGAGATTTCTAGTGGGGCATATATTGTTCAGAAATGATTAATCATAGTTGCAACAGTTTCAGCCCCTTGCGTAATGGTGATCAGGTTATATTAATCACACGCATACAGATGAAGAGATGTATCACTTAGCAACATTAAGATATTCGAATTATTTGCAAAGTAGGCAACTTTATATACATAAAAACTCTGAGAATTACACAGGCAGTCTGTGAAATTAAGGGCAATGTTTATCTTCCATTTGATTTGCCTAAAGTAAGTTATTAACCCTTAGAAGACATAACCACACTTCTAAAATGAAGTTAATCACTCCACAATTTGTTACTGGGAAATACTCAGAATTTATACAAGTAGGCTATCAAAATAACCCCAGATGATTAAAGCCTATGTATCTTTCTTCCTAAATCCTCACAGAACTAAATCAGTTTACTAAATATAAATTTTAATTCAATTAGTCTAATGGCAATAATTCTACTTGAAAGGAGTAAGACTAATTCAGCTAAATTACACCTTTTCTCCCTGCCTCACCTCATGTTTAAAATTTATAACTAAATTTTCATCTTATCTCTCAAACTTCAGAGTGACAAGATTTATACCAAAAAATACTACAGCCAACTCCTTTACAACTTCAAGGACACTTAATAACAAACTTAGTCTCTATTCTATACACTTCTATAGACATTACTTTATATTCTTATAAAGAACCATGTCAAATGGTGTTCCTGATTTTAGAAAGTTAGAGGCTCACCAGCTTTCCCAAAGTTAAACAGCTACCATACTAGATGGCAGAGGCAGTAAGGTAAAAATATTCATAAAGAAAGGGAAAAAAAGATAAATGCTTCACCTCAATCCCTGATGTTTAAACCTATATTGTTAGTTCCAAGTACATAACATAAAGATTTGGTATCTGTAATATACTACAAAATGATCACCATAATAAATCGAGGGCATTTTAAAATTTCTAATCTAACATGGAGGGAAGTTTTGCCTGAGGTTCAACTGCTCACTATTTAAGGATGTGTCAAAATGAAGTTCCGTAATCTTTTATAGAAATGCTCTTAATATATATCTAAATTACAAAGAAATGAGTTTTATTAAGATAGTGTGCCCAATCCCAATGTCCTTGGGATCGTATCATATAAGCTAAACATAAACCATACTATTCTTCCTGCTAAATTGAAATTATACTTATTCACACTCCCCACCATGCTGTTTCCCCCCCGCAAAAAAAGCTAAACAAGAGTCACTTATAAAAAGGGCAATTTTATTTAGGTGTGCCTGCCTGAGTAGTTTGCAACTAAATTAATTCATTTGGCATATTTAAGACACTGACCCAATAAAATACCTTTGTGAATAAATTCTTTAGGATTTAGGAATTATAAATACTACACAGAGTAAAACACCAAAAAGAAGCTTATTTGGTAGAGAAGGGAACTGTTTGGTCTTGATAACCTTTACACTGCCCCTATATTTCTGGCCAATCACATTGTATCATACCTTGGGAAGGGAAACTGCCTGATGCAGCAGCTGAGCCAAAGTCAGCAAATCCTCCAAATAAATCAGCTGATCCTCCTAGAAATTAAGCATGAAGAAAAGTTAAACTGTTAAAACGACAGAACAACAGATAGCAATTTCAGGAAGCCATTTTAGCACCACATTTAAAAATTACCTAATATCAGAGGCTCCAGACCCATCATAGAAGCTAGTTTGTTGATCTAGGTTTTCACATCCCATGTTCCTTTTAAGCTACCACAAACTCTTACATTCTTCAGTGCTTTATCTTGTAAGTAATTGACACTACACTTGTGGTTAAGTTATCCCGCACTTACACTGCCTGAACACAGTGTGGACCTGTGTTTTATCCAGTTGATTAGGCTCTTTATAAGAATCTTTGGTGTGTGGGAAGGATGGGGTGGCTGGGTGATAGACATTGGGTAGGGTATGTGCTATGGTGAGCGCTGTGAATTGTGCAAGCCTGTTGAATCACAGATTTGTACCTCTGAAACAAATAATGCAACATATGTTAAGAAAAAAGAAAAAGAAGAAGATAGCAGGAGGGGAAGAATGAAGGGGAGTAAGTCGGAGGGGGAGACGAACCACGAGAGATGATGGACTCTGAAAAACAAACTGAGGGTTCTAGAGGGGAGGAGGGTGGGGGGATGGGTTAGCCTGGTGATGGGTATTAAAGAGAGCACATTCTGCATGGAGCACTGGGTGTTATGCACAAACAATGAATCATGGAACACTACATCAAAAACTAATGATGTAATGTATGGTGATTAACATAACAATAAAAAATTTAAAAAAAAAAGAATCTTTGGTGGATGCTAAAACCTGGGTAAAATGTTGCTAGGGAGTAAGATATTCACATAATCACCAAACATCACCCCACAGATTACTTAGTAAATACAAAGGAATGAAGCTACTTTTACAATGGAGAAACTGAATGGATATCAACCTAAACAACTGATCAAATTTAATGCCACTAATAATCAGACAAAACAGTAATCGTGGGCCCTTTAATGGCAAGGGACTGAAAAGGAGATCATCACCCGTGTCAAGAATTCCAGCCAAAAATATTTAACCTGAATGTAATCATGAGGAATGAATCAGACAAATTACAAATTGAGGGACATTTTGCAAAACAACTCAAGACTCTTCAGAAAATGTCAACATCATAAAAGACAAAACACGGGGCCTGCTACAGATTAAAGGAGCCTAAAGAAACATGACAAGTAAATGAAATGCATGATCCTTGACTGGATTCTGGATTTTTTAAAAAAGTGCTATTCTGAAATGACATAATTGAGACATCAGGGAAATCTGAAAACGGTCTATATATTAGACAATACTGCTTAAATGTTAAATATACCAGGTATGAAAATTATATTGTGATTATAAAGGAGAATGTCCCTGTTTTAAGAAGATATATGCTTAAGTATTTTGGGGGCAAAATGTCCTGGTATTTCCAATTTTCTCTCAAATGGTACACAATAAACAAATGGTACACAGTAAAACAACAAAAACGATCTAGAGAGAGAGAGATGAAGAAAATGTGGCAAATTTTCTGGGGCGCCTGGGTGGCTCAGTCATTAAGCATCTGCCTTCGGCTCAGGTCATGATCCCAGGGTCCTGGGATGGAGCCCCACATCAGACTCCCTGCTCCATGGGAAGCCTGCTTCTCCCTCTCCCACTCCCTCTGCTTGTGTTCCCCTCTCTCGCTATGTCTCTGTCAAATAAATAAGTAAAATCTTTAAAAAAAAATTTATAAAAAAAATGTGGCAAATTTTCTATAGGTTTGTAGTTTTTTATAAATAAAAAGGGAAAAATTTTTGAGGTTGATTTGCATAAACATCAGTTTTAATAGCTACATAGGGAAAAAATGAATGCAATTATTTTGGTGGACTATTTGTTTTCTATTGTCTACTCCATGAACAGGCAGATAATTACATTTTTAATACATGAAAAAATAACAGGTTTTTGCTACTTCTAGATTGGTGTTTTTAAAGAGGTGAGATCCAAAGGCTGCAAATCAATCTCTGTGCGCGTAACAGCACATTCTCATACAAATTTTTATTTGTAAACACTACATGGATAAGAATATTTACTTTTACCTACAATTTGAACAATATTATACTAAATTTTAATATTCCATTTCTGTCCAATTCAGTTATCAACGAAATAGCAATAGCCAAAGGATCTAAAACCTTAAATAGCTGTCCTTATTTTTCTTTGTCCTTAAAGATTTCACCTTTTAAGAGTCACAACCTTAGAAGTTTAGAGCAGCAGTTCAATTATGGTGCTTTTAGTGTTATGTGAACATTATATAGGTTACATCACAGCTGCTTAGCCTGCAGTGCTTAGAAACTAGCCAGGTGGGACTGGAACATCTGGGCTGCACTCAAATACCACCAGGGACAGATTCCAACATCTGGTGCCATTTCTGAATTGTCTTATCGCTGCAAGACATTCTGCCCCATCTGCTACACTCAACTGGGTTAATTAAACTAGAACCATCTTCCCTTCTTAATAAATGGCCAGCAGTAATAAAAGGAACAAATCAGTTTCTGGTACATGTGTACTTGGTATTTCTTTTTAATGCACATTTACTGTAGTCAACTATCAGCAAGCATAACAAATTTCTCATTTCTTTACCTCATTACAGATGCACATATTCACATATATCCTCACTCACAATGAACTAACTCCCACCAAGGCCAAGGTTCTCAATTCCTACCAACACTACAGTTCATCTGGCTACTTTCACTTTATCCAAAGAATAACATCACAGTGATTTGTTTTTCTCTTCTTTAAAGATACAAAATCATGAAAAAATGTGGTGAGGGGCATAAGAGATCAATGAGCTATATTTTTAAACTATATAAACAAGCACATATATTAATAAAAACTAGCAGGGACACGAACGTTGCAAATAGTTGCTGCTTTATATTCATAAATTTGTCTTCTGTGTTGTTGCTTCATGTTAAAAATATTGATCAAAGTATACTGTTAGGTAACAGAATGACAGTTAATCATTTGCTACAACATTAAGGGATTTGAAAATTGGGGATTATTTTAATTTGCTTCATCCAGCAGTGAATAGACATCAATATGTAATTTATTATGCTAAACAAGTTAGGGATTTTCAAATCTTATCCAGTCTGGGCTACAAAGAAAGTGCATGATGTAGAAAAAGGCACTTGAATACTACAGGATCATAACTTCAAACAGGATATTTTATTTTTGTCATATCCTGATTTAGTATTTTAGATAATTACCTACCTTCGTTACTCCATTGCTTTACCTTCTCACATCTGAACTGAAGTTATATTGTATTCATAACTTATCTACAGCAAATATTATACCTCTCCACCCATACTATAGGGAGTTTGATTTCAACATAACCAATTTAAGAATACTGCAAGTAAAGAATGGAAACCCACATGATATTTTACAAATAGAAGCCACCTTTTCTTGAAAAGGACTTAAATTTTCTCTAATCTTTTGAGGTGCCACAGATTATGCTACTCCTTGGGTTTTACACAATATGATCTTTGAAAACGGTCTCAAACTATCTCAGTAATTTAGAATCTCTTTACTTCTTTTAGGAAAAGTTTCTCTCTCCTAGGAGGGACTAACCTTACCTATATGTGTGATGATATTCATACCAATGCCTTAAATTCAACAGAAATTTTCTATACTGAAGCATTTTCTCAGATAACTTCTATCTAAGGGAATTTAAATAAAGTGTACCAAAAATTGCTGCATGTGGAAGATTGCTAAATTTCACAAGAGCTATCCTTCAAGATTCCCACATGAGAGCTGTCATTATAAATGAACCATTTCCATCTGCCTTTTCAGGATAGCAAGGAGGTTATTTACAATCACCAGCTGGGAACATGTATTTTCCAAAGCAATACTGTGAACAGGAAAAATATAGCTGAACTGACAGTGCTAAACTTCAAAGAATTTAATCTAGATTACCTTATAAAAAACTTGTGCAATAATTCTAGTAAATATAAAAAGAACTGACAATGCAAAAAAAATAAACGTATGACAAAGATTAATATATATACATATATACGTGAAGTTTACATATAAAACACTAAGGATAAATACCCCCACTAAAAGAAATGGACAAAGGAACATGGAAAGATAAGTTACAACTGGCCTATAAGAACATGAAAAGTATTCAAACTCAGGCATCAAACGAATGTAAAATGAAATGAAATACTATTTTCTCCTTACCAAACTGGATGGTTTTAAAAGATGCTACTCCACTACTGTAATAGAGAAAAATTCGGAAAAAAACAAAACAAAACCTAATACCCAAAAAATAAGAGACTATCTGGTTAAATAAATTACAGCATATCCATACACTGTTAAGATATAAAGCAATTACAAGTTTGTAAAAGAATACCAACGATCATAGGGAAATGGTCATGAGAACTTGGGTGAAAAGCAGTTCACAGAAAAAAGCCTTATCAAAAGCCTGAAAAAAATCTGCCATGTAATAAATGCTTAATATATTGACTGAATATATAGAAAGTATACTTAAAAAAAGAGTATTCACTCAAATTATTATGCATCCACGTCATGGTGAATCACTTGTTTTCCGTCAAATTTCTAAAATGAGCATGCATGACTTTAATTAAGTGAAGAGAGTATGTTAAAAAAATTTTATTTTTAGTAAACTTGGCTTAAATTAGAGACAACCCCATGGAAATTTTAACATATAAGTCAGTATACTGAATATGTAAGAATATGGTTCATATTCACGTAAATATCCTCAACTGATTTTTGTGATTACTGGGTACAAGGCAACAGGTTCAAATACAAATGCAATCAACATTTTGGATTTGACATACCTTAATCTTTAAAACAATTTTTAAACTAAAAAAAAAAAAAGAATTCAAAACATATTGCAAGTCACGTAACGGCCCTCTATTTGTACTGACTAAAGTGTATTTTCTCTTCAACCTCATTTATTGTACTAGAGATAACTTCTGGAATAGTATGTCGATCAAGACCTAAATTCCTTAATTAGAAAGGGACAAAGGAGACCATGTGGCCTTTTACAAAGGTGAGATACAGTAAAAAAATGAAATGGGATGTTTTTGGCATTCTAGTTTTAACTGGCCTATTTTCTAAATACTGTAAAATTCATTTTTAAAAATGTTTACTTAGAAATGTACTATATGTAAAAGCCACCAAAATATCCTTAGAGTGCAGATTTTAAAAGAATATCACCATTGTGGTGATGGATTGTTGGTGAACGGATTTCACATGTATATTTTAAAACTTGGTAGATATTCTCCAATGATTTTGCCACACATACTTTTGAAGATGTTAACAAAAGGATGTTGTAACATATTAAAAAAAAAAAATCTGAGCATATTCTCAGAGGAGGTATTTATCTGGTGAGAGGTACAGAGGCCGCCTTATCTGCTTAGGTTTACAGTTCATGCCCATATTACTTGCATGATGGTAATATTATAAATAGAGGCACATCTGGTAAATGACACCCAAATGGTATGCCAAATAGCAATGCTTAATATGTAGATTCTCAGACTTTTTCATGTGTAGATGCTGGAGATTTAATATCCAATAGTTTTTCCACTGCTCAAGTCAATTTAAAATATCTTACTAAAGTATTTAAATAGAGATTTGGGGTAACAAATTATGTCATGACTGGAGGGGCTTTTACACAAACTGGGTAAGCATACTGTTTCAAATAGAAGAGAACTTTAAAAAATAATTCTGATGTAGACAAACTGTATTCAGTTTGTTTTTAGAGAATATTATGATAAAACATTAAGGCAAGAAACTTCTCAGATTTCATTCAGACTTTGTCTCAATTACTGTATTAATATTAACTGCTACTTCTATTTAATTAGTCAATCTAACTGTCTGCACTGAAGAAAAAGCACTCAACGGTTTCTTGCCAAGCAAAGGAAGCATGCTGGTTATTTAATAATTCTCTCTGTTCAAAGCAATCTTGGTATCACTTAAGAAAAAAATTACATCACTCATCTGACCTTCCTAGTTAATTCTTCTCTGATTGCTCCATTAAAACTTTCCACAGATGCATGAAAGGGGCTCCTTAATATTTCATGCCAGGAAGTCCAAAATAGTTGAAATTCTGTGACACTGTGTCTGTATTATATGACTACACACTAACTGTTAATACTACAGTTAAGATTTTATTTTTATTTATTTTTTAAAGATTTATTTGTTTGACAGAGAGAGAGAGAGAGCACAACCAGGGGGTGCAGCAGTAGAGGGAGAGGGAGAAGCGGGCTCCCTGCTCCGCAGGGATTGATGTGGGGCTTAATCCCAGGACCCACAGAGCATGACCTGAGCTGAAGGTAGACGCCTAACCGACGGGGCCACCCAGATGCCTCTACAGCTAAGATTTTAAACATACAAAAAGACACCACCATAAATTGTTAAACTAATGTAGTTGTTTGTAACCTTGGGCATGACAGTTCAATAGAGTTTACAGAATAATTTTAGGAACAGTTAAAGAGTTATAGAAAAAAGGGAACAGGAACTGAAGAAGCTCAGAAACTTGGTTGAACCAGATGCCCCATGAAATTCAATCCCAGTCCAAGAATTTTATAACAGTGGGCAAGGAGAAGAAGAAAATAACAGAAGACTTTCTATTAATTACATGTGCTAAACTATCAATGAAAACCACAGGCTTCCATTTAAGCACTAATGTAAATTTTTAAACCAATTCCCTTTTGAAAAATCACTATACACGTTGAGGAACAATAGATTTACCTTGTACATTACTTATACACCAGTCTTACCATCTACGTTTTAATGTGAAATAAACTTTAAACAGGTTGGGAAAGATCATCTTTAAACAGAAGCTCTATTTCTTAAGCTGTTTTGACTTGTAGCATAGGACTTTATTAGAACTCCATAATCATCAAATGCAACCTAAAATGCCAATTTTCTTGAAAACAATATATAGGAAATTACTCAAATCAAATCTGGCATATACTGAAAATCTAACTGAAGAAATAATTAATCCTATCTCTAAGAAAATCTTGGTAAAGAGACTACTGTTTTGCTATGGCCTCCTTAAAATATGTCAGGTAGGTTACGTGCTTTCATAGAATGCCCCTTTCCTCCAAAGCTCTTAGCATGTTTGTAACTAGGTAACTATATGGGACTCTTTGATTAAAGATTACTTCTTCCACCTACCTTCCCATGAGGGCAAGACCTTTGTTTCACTAAGCATTATACCTCAAGCACAGAGACCACTGTCTGGTTCAATAAGTACTTGTTAAATAATTAGTAAAAAGTTTAAATGAATTCTACTATAGCTGATGTTGAGAGCCAGAATTAAGATTTAAGGAAAGACAGTAAAATGGGCAGAGCAGTACATTTTTGCTTATAGAGAAAGCAAAGGACCCCATTCAGCACTAAGAGATTAAGAAGAGAGATATTACTGAATTATTGGTCAAATATTTAAGCACTCCTCTTTACTTTAGGCAATTAAACAATTTTTCCCAAATAATGCTCAAAGCTCACTAATTTCACATTAAAAATAAATGCAATGCAAAAAAATTTTTCATTCTATCCTTTATTTGGCATTTTGAAAAATTAACTCTGAAATCAAGGTTACTGAAAAGAAAAAAGCTAATGTGGAAGCTTACCTGTCGACTGGCTGGTGCCATCAAACAGATCAACAAGGTCACCAGATGACTTGCTGCTAGGCACTGAAGTCTGAAAACACACACAGACCTTTAAATAAGCTTAGAAAACAAATTTCTACTATTTTCTTAAACCTGCTCTAGTCATCTCTGATCCTCAACTTAGACACAAATACCCATAACATCTTAATAAGGGTACATTTAGTTTTCTGAAAGAAGAGAAGTGACCTTGAAGTCTTATGCAGAGATAGTTATTTTTAAGTAATTCTATCCCTAGCACTGTAAAATCCCTAACATCATCTACTGTTTTCCCTAACTCATTTCTTTTCCTACTGCATTTCACTCTGGAAAACATACCTTCCAGTTCCCACTCAAATCTTTTTTTTTAAAGATTTTATTTATTTATTTGACAGAGAGACAGACAGCGAGAGAGGGAACACAAGCAGGGGGAGTGGGAGAGGGAGAAGCAGGCTTCCCGCTGAGCAGGGAGCCCGATGCGGGGCTCGATCCCAGGATCCTGGGATCATGACCTGAGCCAAAGGCAGCAGCTTTACGACTGAGCCACCCAGGCGCCCCCCCCCCCCACTCAAATCTTAATGCTATATATCTGAATCATTTGAGAAAAACTAAAAAATACTTATGCCCCAGCCCATCACAACATTGAGTCACACCTGCCCAGGGTGGGATCTTGGCCTATATAGGCTGACAAAGTTCCCTGGAGAATTCCAAAACATAAGAAGGTCTGAGATCCATTGGATTAGAGACCAAGATCCTAACCAGCTCTAAAATTCTATGATTTTATGATTCCAGGATTCTTGGATTACTATTTGTATACCAAAGTCATTCTATGTTGTTTGATATAACTTCACATCTAATTGGTTCACATTTAGTTCCCAAACTAAAATGTGGGCTGGAGTTCATGATTTTTCTCTTCCCTATAGTCCTAAGTACCTTGATGCAAATGTCCTATATGTTCAATACATATATGATAATTAGAACAAATTGCTAGGCAACAGGGAAACACTAAGTTCGTAGGCATGTTATTTTAGGCCTTGAAGATTAAAACACTATATGCTGATTCAAAAAGGCTTTGAGATTGAAAGAGATCCAAGCAGTTGAGTAACTTTCCAAAAACTCTGGCCTTCTAGACATTATTTTTGTAGTTTAAAAAAAAAAAATCACAAAGCTTACACTATCAATGTAAAATATTTATGGCAGAGTGACATGTATTTAGGCTATATTACAAATTGCTATTTAAAATCTTTTAACATACAAAAGTTTTAACTTATTGTTAAAAAAAAGTTATATAGTTTGGGTGATTTTCCTTGTGCAACCTGACATGAATTCTCCTAAAACAGCCATATGTATTCAGGTTTTAATTATGACTATCTACCAGATCCTGCACAGCCATCAGTAAGCTAACTATATGTATAGCAGGGGAAATCTAAGACAACAAAGAACTAACAAAGCCATTTCCCCTCTTTAACTACAACTAAAGTTGAGTTTTAATTGAGGTTTTCATCAAAACTAAAAAGATGGGTGCAATTATACACGGAAGATATTTGGCAAAACTTGACAGAGAACCTGTTCTTGCCACTAAGTATGACTAGCTTTAGAGTTAACTACAATCTGCAGGATACATTAGAAAAATGTTTTCCCTAGCTTTTTGCTACTTCTGATGCAAAGACACAAGCTGGGTAAACACTAGTGGGGGAGACTGACAAAACACTAGCTTGTGGCCAGGTTATCTAGTAGGTGGATTTCATTTTGGTGGGTGAATAAAAAACAAATGAAGAAGGTAGTAGTGCTGCTACTGATCAGTAGTGAGGCAAATAAGCCTCCCTTCATAGGCAACATCTCTATATAAAAATAAGACTATTTCCCCTATATATCTAGCTGGTCCTCTTCTGTCATTTCTTACAACTTCTAAATAATCTCCTCTTTTCCTTAGTGAATCTCATTGTGTTTGGCAACCAGTGATGGTGTCTAGAAAGAAACAAATGCACTACATTCTGATTCGCCACTGTTCCCAAACGAACCCAAAGTGTCATTTCTACTTTCATAGAAAGTGCATACACAATCATGCAGCAATTGGACAGGTTTCTTCCCCAAAGAGATTTCTTATTATTAATGACTCTGAGTAATACAGGTCAGACGATCTATAATTAATATGATTGCCTAGGAATGCCCAAGCCTATTGCAGTAATTCTAGAAGTAATCTATAAGAATAACACTGTGTATAGTGTGTAAACTCATGCCTTTCCCACCTTAAGTGAAGACTGAGGTGTATGAGTTGAAGCATTCTGATCTGGACTTGCTTTGTCCCCTGTGTAATGTGCTGCTGCTCCAAGATCAATGGTTTTAGAAGGATTTGCTGTGCGCTTGTGTCTGGTTGTGGTGGTCTCTGTGGCCTGTGTGATATGGATATGCTTTGTCGTCACAGTCTCCTCTTCATCTTTGAATTCACCTTTGGGAGATCTGCCTCTTCTTGCTTTCTTTTCCTCATCACTGTCACTAAAAGATATTAAAAATGAAGCAAAATAATAAGACTAGGGATTATTTTAAAATGGAGCCCTCAGTGATTTGAGCTAAAGAATTTCAAATGCAGTAACTCCAAAATTCCATACTCCGACTATTTGACAGGGATCAAGAGAATGTTATCTAAGCTATCTGAATAATAATGATATGTATGTGCTGGGGAGGCGAAATGGGAACCTGCTCAATTCCCTAGGTAAGTCTAAAACACTGCTACAAAAACATATTTACATAAATGTGTACAAATAAAAAAAGTCTGAAGTAATTCAAGGTTTTATGTATTATAGATTTAAAGCTTAATTAAAAAATAAAATATCAGAATCAACTGATGAGGTCCTGTGAGCTCAAACATCTGCATTTGATGACCATTTTCTTGAAATGGACCATGTGCAAACTACAGTCCCATTTAAATAACAATTCTGTCACTGACTCATATACTCATACAAATACATAGTAAAATATAATTTCAGTGGACACTGAAATTTCAACACTATCCTAACTAAATTCAAATGACTAAATGCTCACCTGTAAATGCAAAAAAATATGAAGTATTGCACTTTACAACAATAGTGCTCTATTTTACTACAGTATAAGGAGATCAAACTTATACCTTACTAACTGCTTTACAGGAAAAAGCATATTTAAAATATTTTGAAATAATTCCTTTTTTGGCATACTCAAGATTTTTTCCCTTTTTTAACAGGGCAAAAGAAAAACATACATAATAATAATAAAACTGTGTTTTTCATATGCCATGAATTTAAAACATCAGCACTAATTTGTCCTTCAGTAATAAAGCATTGAGGTTTTTTTCTGGTGCAAGCAGGACAGAGAGAAATTACCTGAAATATGTTCCAGTGCTTGTATTACTTAATTTTAGAGTAGATGGTTTAATTTATAAATATTCTGAAATAAAACAATTAAAATTCTCCTTAAAACTATACTAATTTATCCCAGACAAATCTACAGCAATTTCTACTTAAATATCAATTTGGAACCTCTATAAATCAAGGATCAAGAAGAACGTCTCATGATGGACTCTGAAAAACAAACTGAGGGTTCTAGAGGGGAGGAGGGTAGGGGGATGGGTTAGCCTGGTGATGGGTATTAAAGAGGGCACATTCTGCATGGAGCACTGGGTGTTATGCACAAACACTGACTCATGGAACACTACATCAAATACTAATGATGTAATACATGGTGATTAACATAACAATAAAAAAATTAAAAAAAAAAAGAAGAACGTCTCACATAGAGCAAAAGGGTTAAATGTACTTTTATCTATAAGCATTTCAGGGAATCTACAAGTTCCGATTAAGTGTTCAGAAGTCCTTGTCTCTTACCAATTTCTCAGCAACAGATGATCTAAAGATTCCCACCATCAGCCCTATAAGTAAAACTAAAATTTCTTACCTTTCTGATGTCCAATTTGCTTTCAGTGCAAGATAATTTCTTTATACGTTGAGAATATAAAACTGACTAGCATACAATGAAATGGAAGCTTCAGATCTGATCAGTGTTCAAGAATTCCTGAATCTAATAATGAACTAATAATAAGCCTGACATTTTGGTAAGATGCCAGAGGTCACATGCAACTTTGTCTAAAAGTCTACTCTTTTTTCACAAATACTCAAAGATGTAAATTCCCTGGTGTGTTCTTCAGTTACTATGATGAATAATACACACTATATTTTTACTTTTAAACCCAAATACTCTAAAGATTTAGGAACTCTAGCAGAACCTGTTGTAGAGGTAACATTAAAAAAAACCCAAAAAACAAAAAAGGGAGAAATGGGGGGGGGGAAAAAAGACAAAGCAAAGAAAGAAAAACTGAGGGTCGTAGGGCAAAGGAACAACACAAGAATGTACACAGATCTCTAACCAGCCTACCTACCTGATCTCCAAATCTCTTCAGGAAATAGCAACAGATTATATGGCCACTATGTGTTTTAAACCAAACTAAAAATGTAAATACACAGGCCATGAGAACAATAACGAGAGAAAAAACAGAATACTCACAGAATATTTGAGTAGGCACAGTTTCCCAGTTTAGTGTTTATTATTATAACATACATATTCTTTAGTATAAAAGAGCTAAAAATGTAGTTGTAAAATAGATATATTTAAAGTATGAAAAGTAAATTCTGGTTCTTCAAAGATCATATTCCAGAAAGTCTTGAAAAAGACAGGCATTTGAGAAATTAAATAAATACAGAAACATACCAAAGACACTAAACAGGTATTTTAAAATTGTTTCAAAATTATATTTTTATTTTTACTTTTTAGTGACCCCTAAATCTGAACTATTAAGATTTTTTAAGGAAAAAAAAAAAGAGAGAGATGGTACTTATTATTAAGAACTCACTTGAAGGAAAAGCTCCATCACTAACTACTATTACTTTAGGAAAGTTCCACACAGCCTGATTAGGCACCAGGTTTTACTTCTAAAAGTAAGGGTAAAATTCTTGATCTAGCCTATCTAAGAGAAATACTCTGAGGCACAAATGACAAAGCACTTGTAAAACTTGCCTTGCAAATGAAATGCCAGATATATATATATATATATATATATATATATATATACACCCTTTTAACTTTTTATAGTTTATAGCTAATATTGGTAGGTAAGAACAAAAAGTGAATGCTGAGAAGTTCAAAGTATTGTTCTACATAAAACAAAACACAAAGCCCTACCATTAGAAAACACAGTTTATGAAAACATAGATCTACACTTGAAAACATTTTAGCGTTAAAATTCATTTGGATTATTTTTTCCTGTTAACACTGGCATGAAATCATAATAAAATGTCATAGAAAGAGTTAAATTTCAAACCCTTTAACTTTTGTTTAAACTTATTTAATTAAGTTTATTATTAATAAACTTCATTACCCCTCAGCAGTAACTTAGATGGCTGGGTGATCTGATGCCCAAATGCAAAATGAGCCATGAAAGTTCTTACTGGAAAAAAAAATTTTTTTCAATAAATAGCCTGAATAAAAACACATAGAAAATGTGATCAACCTTAGAAATAAATGGACACAGACAACATGGAAAGTGTATCAATACTAATTACAAATAATGTTTGACCTAGCATCTTAAAAACAGCTGCAGAGTGCTCACATCAGCAGGAAATGCACTAAAGTTGGAGCAATACAGAGAAGATTAGCATGGCCCCTGTGCAGGGATGACATGCAAATTCATGAATCATTCCATATTTTTATACAGGGCATTTTTAGGGCAGTGCAACTATCCTGTATGGTTCTATAATGGTGGATATTATGCATTTCTCAACTGCACGACACAGTGAATCCTAATGCAAACAACAAATTTTAGTGAAGAACAGTATATCAATATTGGCTTTCAATTGTTAATAAATGTACTACACTAATGCAAGATGTAACAGGAGAAATTGTGTGTGTGTGTGTGTGTATGTGCGCACACGCCCATGCACAAATTGGGGAGTTAACAGGGTAACTCTGTTACTTTATGTACAATTTTTCTGTGAACCTAAAACTGCTCTATAAAAGAAAATCTATTAAGAAAAAAGAAAAGCTGAACTTCAGATAAACAAAAGCCCAGCTGCATAAATTTAGCACCCTTTCCAAGACACCCAGGAGACAAAGTGTTAATACCTGCATCTTTCTGGAGAGTCTTCCCTATCTTTCCTCCGGAACTTGCTGATGGTGTCATCAATTGTGCTTCCAATTTTATCACTCAGTTCACCTAATTTATCACTGAATGGAAAAGCACTCTTGTTTTTATCCCACTCTTCATCCCATTTTGATTTGGGTTCAGGATCGTATCTTTCACCTATATAAAGCATTAAAAAGAAAAGCAACTCTAAGGATATTAAATTCAAAAGGTGTCTACAGTCCTAATTTCTGAAGCTTTTCCTCATAATAAAATAGTTTTCAAAAGAAAACAGAAAGCTCCCACAGTGCTGAATCAACACAATTACAGCAAGGCACAGCATGTAGTGCCAGTCATTAAGTGGCAGGAATGCAGATTCAAAAGCTTTTGTTTATGAAAACTTACACAACCTTAATGCACAGCACAGCATATAAGGAAGTTCTTAAAAGAGTAGAGGAAAACACAAAAAACAACACAGGCTATATAAGCCACAGAGAAATGGAAATCTTTTTGTTTTTACAAAAGTCACATAATGCATTATATTTCATTCCTATGTCTTAATGGTTCTTCAATTATTAGAAAAGTATTAGACAGCAATAGTCTCTAAAAACACCTACTAAAGGAGACAGCACTCTGAATGTTACATGTCCCGATATGCTGTAAATATGCTGAAAATAACTGTCATTCTTTAAGTGTCAAACTAGAAAAATAACTCAATGGATTTCACGGCATGGGAAAGCATCTTTGAATTATTATAAAAAGAGAAGAATATTCTAATCACCTGACACACCAAACTACACAGACTAGAATCATGAAATATGCTCAAGCAGTTCAGAATAGTGATGATCTATTCAAACACCAAGTCTAAACATATGCTGGGATGGCAAAACCTAGGGAGACTCTGTGTGAATTTGGGAGAATGAAAAGAATAGATCATGGCAGTAAACAAAAACCCCAAAATGTCAAAATTTGTTTTAGACCTTGACCCTGGCAGCCTGAAGGAGAGAGGCATTCTAAGCACTAAATAGAACCTCTCCATTTCCACATCCAAACTCAATCAAAAAGACAAGAGTAGAAGGTACAGAGAGAAATCAGATGAGGTTAAAAAGAAGAAAACAATGAAAACTAAGGCAGGGTGGAGAGAAAAGGGAAAGTGCAATGAGAAATAACAAAATAATCAAAAGGTGGCTGAGCCTTTGTGTTGAACTTTTGTGAACAAGTTCTGGTGGCTAACAAGCCCTTTGGAGATCGAATAAAACCATTTTGCAGAACTGCCTAAAACTGCAAAGCCAAAATTTTTATAAGAGGATTGTAAAGTATGTCCACTAGACCTGAAAGTGACCATCACCTTAAAGAGACAAAATTTTAACCAGATGGTTTTATAAAAATGAGTGGTTTTCCAATAATGTGAATGTACATTTCAATGAAAATGTGATAAACTAGACTTTGAAAAGACAAATTTATAGGAAAAATGAAAGCAGATGAAAACAAAACTGATTAGTGTGATGGATATCCTACTAAATGAGTGTCAAAGATACCGGATTACTGGCAAGACACCATCTTAGGTCAAAATGAAAAGACATAAAACAGCTAAAGTTGATTAGTTAAGCCTTTGAACAATATATATAACATCACAAATAATTTTAAAAGAATGTGATGCAAATACGTAAGATTTCAACTCTCCCTCTAATGCAGATGTAATTAGTTCACAGTGACTGAGTCTGAGAACTTATTCAATTTTATAAATTTATCTAATTACATATTGTGCTGGTAAAAAGAGGGTTACAAGCAAGTAGAATGAGGAAATGAGTTGCAAATAGCAATTTCTCCTCAAAAACACATTAAATTGCTCTACTTTGAAAAAGCTAAAGAATAAAATAACTACTTAGGCAAATAATCCAAAAACTTGTTACTCCCCTAAACAAATAAAAAGTCCAAAACATATTTACATGATTTAAGAGAAATATTTTTGTCCAATTCAAGAATTGACTTTTTGTGATGCTCAGTCATAAAAGAAAGGAATTTTCCTGTTAAAAACATCCTTTAATAATTAAGTACAGTATTTTTTTCTTTGAGAGCAAAGAAGCAAAGGAGCAAAGATATTATTTTGTAGATAATCACAAGATAAGAAATAGAAAATTTTTACACGGTTCCAGTGCAGGAATTCTGAGATCCCAGTGTAATCTAAATATAAAAAAACTCAGATATGGATGGGGGGAGCTGGGAAGTCCCAATCTGTGGCTAAGTATACACAGCACTAAGCCTGTCTATGTATACACAAAATGACCAGGGGATGGTCAGAACTTACAGAAGACAGAATGAGTCCAAAGGGACATGCTGTTAACAGCAAGTTCTTATTTTCTGTGCTGGTTTCAAGTACCTAGTGATCTATTTTGGGGAAACTATATTAGTACATTAAAAATAAACATGAGCGATCAATGTTCTAGCTGCTCTTAAATGTGTTAAGGAACAATAAAGTGAAAGGCCTAGGTGAAAAACTGATGGTACTCTCACCTTTTTCTATGTCAAATTAAAGTATTGCTTAATTAAGGGAAGAGACTGAGGCAGAACTAACTTATAGGAAGCTTAACTATTTTTGGCCCCAAATAGAGCTAATTTGTTTCAAATGGGGAAGATGAAGCTCTTCAAACTTTGTATTTTTAATGCTCTAAATGGTAAGGTAGAGAAATCCTTTTTTCTTTTTAAAAATGGTAATTCCAAGAGGGAAGGGTATATATCTGTTTTATTCTCTGTGTCAATTTAAAATTTAGTCATCTAATTAACGACCAATGGTTAAAATCATATTCTTGAACCCACAAAAGTAAAAAATAGAAGATTCCTAATATCCATATAATAGGAGCCAAAACAAGTATTTCATATCCTTTAGCATTCTATTTCGAGGAGGGGGGAGGTATTTTGATCTTTTGTATTTCAGTGATTCTTAAAATACACCCAGGAAGCTAAATGAATGCTTAGGTGCCAGTTTGTCTTTGATACTCACTATATCTGAATCCTCCAACACTGTCTGAGGAAACCCCAACATATTTGTCTTTGTTCTTCTTTGCTTTCTTTCGCTCCTCACGAAGCCTGTCGTCATCCTGGGCAAATTCAACCAATTCTTTCACCTTCTGGCGAATGTTTATACCTTGATCCTTGCCATGCTCATCTGTGAGTATGGTAAGGGAGAAACAAAACCTTAAATAATCAATTAATAAGTATCAAACCCTTTAACACAAAAAACAGACATGAAAATTTCAACATTAAAAAACCAACTTCAATAATTAAAATTAACAAAAAGAGGAAAATAATGCTATTGAATTTTGTCATTTTCTCATCAGCAATTCTAAGTCTTGGGATGCAATTCTGGCTTGTAAGATGAATTAACAAGGACTACAGATATTGGTGCTATGTAAGATCAATGAAGGATCTACTAAAAAGCATTACTAATGATGACCACAGGAAAAAGACTTACATCCATAAATGTTTTCTTTTCATACATTAACAACAACAACAACAAAAGATCCACTTTAACATTTTAATGACTAAAATATACTCAAATGCTTTGGTTTCCCCAATACAAGTTTGGAAATACTAATTACCAGAATTTAGTGTAGCTGAAAAACTGAATTTTTAAAGTGCTTTCAATTGGGGTACACTACAAAATGAAATGTGGTTTATTCTGTATCCTCGTTCACATTCAAAACACACTCTAGCCTTGCTGCCTTTGCACAGTAAATATTATTTGGTGGGAGGAAAAAAAAACCCAGCTTCAAACAGATGTGTGTGTTTTAGAGCTCTAACCTTTTCTTCCCATATGATTAAAGCTATTTCTTTATGGACACCACAGGGGACCAGTCTCCAGTGCATATTTTAATATAAACCCGAACACTCATGTTGTGTTGGTTCTGTTGTTATTAGCCAGTCTTTTCTGCAAGTTCTTGTCTTCACTAATTAATACTCTAGGGCCCCACGTCTTGGATTCTGCACTCGTCACACAACCAGCAATAGTCACATTCTAATTAGAGCAGAGAAGCTTCTAAGCTGGTTCAGGTGACTGACAACTCCAACTACTGTTTTAATTTGCTTATAAGGTTTTTCTATTGCTCACCTACAAAGTGGTAATTTTCCAGGGATCGCAAATCATAAATGTGTTCTCTGGCACTTGTAACAACACGCTCTGATCCATTCCTTATGAGGTAAGCTAGAAGCAGCAATGACTGTAAAAATACAAAGCACCAATGATTTAACAAAATAAATTCTGGTAGAGCTTTGGTAAATGGTTTAAAAAATAATTCCAACATTAGCAAATAATCTTTGTGGGGGTAAGTGAGAGGCAGGGAGATTTCTTTCCTGACACTGGACTTTAAATACATAGTCTAAAACTTGTATTATCAATTTGAAATTCCTCTTCTAACCACAGTAAATAATTATAAGCTGTCCACTGGACAACATGTGTCAAAAAATTAAAAAAAATAGCTCTCTGATGTTAAGAAATACCTGAATGTATGATTCAAATGAACACTAAGCTTTTAGAAAGTGGCTCAATTTTTACTTTTCATCTGGGCAATACAGAACTGTGAATTGTTCGAAATATCAGTTTAAAAAGAACAATTATTTGGTAATTATATGATCCCATAGCATTTTCCCCAGATCAAATTAAATTTGGAAGTTAATGATGTGACTTTTGTTTCAAAAACTGGCTGCCAACAAATAAAGAGAAAAAAATTTTATGGGGTTTCTTTTGGGGTGAAAATATTCTCATATTAGGTAGTAGTAACTGCTGTGCAACTTTGTGGATACACTAAAAACCACTGAATTATGCATTGTGACCTTAACTTTGCTTGGAACAAACCTCACATAAAGAAGTTATCAACTATTTCATCACAAATACACAAGCTGAGGGAATGACCGTAAATATTTTCAGAAACAAGTAGCATCAAAAACATGGAACTAAATAAAGCACTGCTCTTCAATCCTGAAAGCCAAAATATTGCTTTCGAAGTTTCAAATATAAATATTATATGCCATTTTGAAAGTACAGAGAAACTTATTCTGAGTAGCAAGAAAATATGGTGGGTTTGGGAAACAGATGACGATCTTTAGAATTCCACATTATATGATGAAATCAGAACTAAATGAAAGGAATCCGATAAAAAGTACCTATTCGGAAATTTAAAATGTTAGAATTTTAATATGTTTTAGGATTTCTAATTATATTTTTAAACTAACATATTTCTGCTGCAGAATACTGTGTTAATATTATAAATTAGGCAAATTTTTATGTAGAGATGAGAAACCATATTAGACTGTGGTTTTCATCTTAATTGCTCATCCACTAAATATACATCCATCTGTAGATTCATTACTTTTAATACACAAATATATTTCCAGTAGGAAAAATTTTAATAAAATGAAAATATTTATAAGTATTATTAATTTTAAACATTTTACTTTCAGAACAGTTGTTTATGGTGACTAGAAAACAACACACGTAGCAAATCTACTTCTTTTACCTGTTTAAGAATATTCTATTCTAGGATTTAATGTCCTTCATAATCACTTATATATGTATACCTTAAAATTTCAAGCATTTGTTTTCAACATGTCAAATAATAAAAACAATCTGATGTCCATACCTTGTAAACTCTTCTCCAATTTTTTTTGTTGTCTTTTAACATTCGTGACCAAAGCATGTTCATAAGTTCTGGAAATTGTTCATACATAAATGTAGCCCTGAAAAAGAATTTTCCTCAAGACTTTGCAATATATTAATTTTGACAGTAGATGGCAGGCTTGTTCTAAGTTATTGTGTTTTTCCAAAGCTTAAAAAATTTAATAAGCAATTTAATTGGAAAAATTTAGATATGCTTCCATAAAAATATTTTTCTCATAGTTTGTAAAATATGTAGCACACGTGTAAACCCCACTAATATCATCATTTACAAACCCTTTACTTACCAGGATAGTGGTCAAGGTGCTCATCAAAAAAAAAAAAAAAAAAATTCCTAACTTTATTTCAAGTTATTTTATACACATTTGTCAAAATTTTATGAAAAGCTACAGTAAGTCTCTAAACTTCATTGAAAAATTTTGTTTTACTTTTTTGAGCTCATTTTTAAGGGCAAATGGACTCTGCATAAAACTTCCTCCATTACTATCTGAATGATTATGCGAAATTTATATCTGGCAGCTAAACTGTTTAAAACTGAAAGCAAATTTCATATTTCTATGTAAACATAGTTGGATTCTTTCTGCACTGCTGAGTCAAATTATCACTTACTTGGCAATCTCTCCCATGAGTTGCCCAGAAGGTCCCCAAGGATCATCATTCGTTGCTTCTCGAACCTTAGACTCGATCTCTGAATAATTCATAACCACATTGGTTCTGCAGAGAAAAAAATGCACACACATATACACAAAGATTAGCATCAAAACTGAGAAACACATGAAAACTTAATAATGACACTACTGGGTGTCCTAATGAGATACCTCTACATGGTGGGAAAGAAAACATCTTTTGTGCATAAGCTACTTCGAGGACACTATATAACACATTTAAGTTATATTTAAGAAAATTTGACTATTCCATTAGCCTTCCAGAATACAGATGAGAGATTACATTAGAGCTGGCATAAGTCCAGCAAAAAATGGCTTTGGGTCAAATTAAAAAGGAAATTGAACATGCTAGAGTCTATTATAAAACTAAGCTGTCAGTTTTCTGACCAGATCTGGTTTATATGCACTCGTTTCCTTACAGAATTTCTGTAAATTGGTTAGCAAAATTATATAAGAGCAGAACATTATTTATATTGCATTAAAAAAAAAAAGCAATGACAAACCAAAGATAACACTAAAAATATTTAGAATTGCTATGAACATTTAACTGTAATCCCTTGGTCTTTTTTCACTTGTATGTTTTCTATGTCACTAGTCACCATAAGCCTCACTTTTGATGGCTACATAATAATCCATCAGGAAACTGTATGACAACGTATTTAACTTTCACTTAAGACTTCAGCAGTGTCAAGAACATGGGTTCTAGGCGTCAGAAAGATCTGACTCCAGTTACTTTGTGACTTTTGGCAAAATTATTATAATTGTCTTAATTTCAGTTTCCTCAAGTGCAAAATGGGAGTAAGTAAGAAGAACACTACCTCAAAGGGTAGCATCTCAAATGGTATCTAACAGCACACTGTCTGACACACAGAAATTGCTCAATACAGGTTAGCTGCTATTATTATTATCACATAATAATCACCTAGTAAGAGGATTTAAAAATATTAAGTAATATTTTATAAGAAAGAATTAACTTTGAAAAGAGTACCTTAAAATTAAGATACAAGATGGCAAAAAGTTTGGTCATTAAAACAGAATTTCCATACTCAAATGGATTTAAGAATTCAGACATTCTGAGGAATAAAATACTGTGAAACTGTGACTTGTAGTAGTATCCATTTGACATCTAAAGCTCCAATTATTATTGAGCACTTGTTCTAATAAGATACCTATGGATACAGTCATTCAAATCTTCCACTTAAAATTTAGCCTTAGAAACAGTCTAAATTTGTTAATTATTACTTCCATATAGTCTACTCTTGCTGTATGGTTTTTCAGTTATCAAAAGGTTCTGTTTTTTCAAGTAAGGAAAATTTGACTTAAGTGGTATTCAAACCTGTTTCCCAAATATAAAGAAATATACATTTTAAATTCATTGTGAACATTTCTCTTAAAGAAAGAGACTAATAAATGTTTTGGGTCAAATTTGAAAGGAGCCATTACACATATAAATATGACTTGCCAAATCACAGAATAAATCTAGCTTCTAGATTTACATTCAGAAGACTATTCTACTAAGGAAGAAAAGTGAAACCCTATTACTTTCTTTAAATTTTGGAGAAAGCTGCCTCCTAAAATATCAACTAGTTTGAGAACATAAATAGAAATTGTTTCCCTGCGACATAATTTCCACTGCCTTCTTTAAAAATTAAGGCTATTAATGAATGAATTTTCATAAAAACCCAGTAATGATTCTATTGACAATAATTTTATGTATAAATACAAAGGAGTAACATTTTTTTCTAATTTCTTCAACAATGGAAACAAAATAAAATCAAGGCAGCCAATGACAGATTTGCAATTTAAGATGCCCCAAAATGATGGATTTCAAAATGCTTTTGTTTATCCTAGTGGCTGAAGAATGCGTGGCTTAGGCAGTTATAAGTGTCAACATGCAGCTGTGGGAATGAACAATAGCAATTAGGATTATAATTCACCCAAGCATTTCATTACCAAGAATGCACTTAAAATCTGTTTGCATTGTTTAATCTGCTAGAGAACAAGATGAAAGGAGTTAATCTCTAGTCCACGCACATGAAATATTTTTACTAGAGCCTTCATAAATGCTGTAGCTTTCAGAACACTACTTTCCTTGTTCAAGCTACAAAAGCCCATGGGTCAAATGAGAAAGGTCCTGTTTCTCTAACCCTTCACAAGATTCTTAGCTGAAGGCCTGTGTGTTTGAGTGCTGTGTGTTTACAGGGAGAAGTGGCAGAGAGCCAATGATTTAAGAATCGCCTTATTTCCTTGGTTGAAAAACAATGGGAACTATGTAAAATGACAACTTAGCATTAGAATACCTACAATGTAGTTACAAAGTATATCCACAAAAAGATAAGGCAATGATAATACAAAAAGTAACAAAGTCACACAACTTCCATGAAGAAAACCAGGCTCTATTTTAAAGCCATTTTCTAGTGAAACTGCTGCTTTCAGAAACTGCAAAGAACTCTAAGATGAGATCTGATGGCCACAGAGAATTCCAAAACAAAGTATTTTTAAGCTGCACCTAATTCAGAAACAAATGTAAACTAAAACAAAACAAAACATGACACTGTATAGTTTGGCCTTATTCCAGCTCACTTAAAAATAACTATTTCTAAAAAGGTAAAAATGGCATTTTGATCCTTCCTTTCCCATGTCTTCCACTGCCCTTAATCCACACCCTACCCATAATTCCAGTGACCTTTTTAAAAAAGGAAAATAACCCCTTCCCTCCCCCCAAAAAAGAAAAAAAGAAATTATGTCCAGATGTGAAAGGAAAAATAGCTAGCTTAATTCCTAAAACTTCTGAGTGACAAAAATGTTTTTAAAAATGGATACTTCAGACACTAGAGGGGGCTCTCCCAACAGTTTTTTAACACACACAAAACTCAGACAAAGGTCTAGGATGTGTTCTGCAAACAAAATCATAGGAAATTACCAGGAAATAACCAAAGAGTGAAGAATATAAGAAACTGCTCATGTTCTGAAGATTTTACCTTAAAGCAATACTGAACCACTGCTTTTTACTAGGATAAAATCCACAATTAAAATCATTAGTTTGTATTGGTAAGACTTCACTGCGTCTATAGTGCTTTTCCATTTGCTCCTCACAACACCCCAATAGGTCGGACAGGGCTAAGGGAGTCCCCAGTGAGAGTACTTAACCCTGAACAACCCAGCACCACTCATTCACTGGATCTTTAATGCTAAATGATGAAAGTTACTGCCCTCAAATTCTGCACCCATGCTTCTATGGCTGTGTCCACATAGCCAATGTTCAATTATTCAAGGGTTGATTATTCACTTTGTAAATTATTAGTGTTCATTTTGGCTCTCCTCTTTATTCCTCATTTTCTGTTTATTTCACCACTCACTACTGATAAAATACCAAGGTTATTTTATTTAGTAAGTTTGGGTCGTTTTAGAGACAAGACTGGTTGAAAGTAAAAGCTAAAATGGGGCTTTTACTTATAGATGGTCAATGCTTCTTCTAATCTGCATTAACAATAGACAAGAAAAAATTTGAATGATCCTTATTGATAATTTTTTCCTGTCAAAAAGTTCAAGAATATGCTTTTCTTTTTTTTAAATATTTTATTTATTTATTTGACAGAGAGAGACAGCGAGAGAGGGAACACAAGCAGGAGGAGTGGGAGAGGGAGAAGCAGGCTTCCCGCTGAGCAGAGAGCCCCATGTGGGGCTCGATCCCAGGACCCAGGGATCATGACCTGAGCTGAAGGCAGACATGTTAACGACTGAGCCACCTAAGTGCCCCGAACATGCTTTGTTAAAACAAAAGTATATACCAAGAGAAAAGGTAAAGCTTAGATATAATTCAGTTCTACCTGTTAACAAAGGGATAAGGAAGCTGAAACAGACTGATGTAGTAAGAAGTATTTTTCCCAGCTTGCCTTAATTTTACCTTCCTTTTTAAAAAAAAAATGTTTTTAATGTTCTCTTCTTTTTGTTTTAAACTTATTATAAAGACTTCATTCACTCTGAGATCAGGAAAATATTTAGCAGTATTTTCTTTTAGATTATTTAAATCTGTGTTTTATTGGTTGCACGCATATTTACATCCAAACTTACAGACACAGAGAGTCCAAGTAACAGGAAAACGGGCAACAAGAGACAGAGACACAGCTTTCAAAGTAATGGTTTTAAATAATAGTATTTTTTCTTTATATTTTCCTGTATTTTCTGAATTTCCTCCCATGAATTTTATACTGTAACCAAGGGAAAAGTATTAAATGCCATTAAAAATAGAAAGTACTGTATCATCAGTACATGTAACATCATTAGCAACATTTTAACTCTTTTTAGGCAAATAAGCATCATGGTAGACCATGTTAAGAACTCTTTGTACTTCCGAAGTGCTGTTTTATCAGGCTAGTAAGTGCAGCCAACTAGTAACTAAAGTATATGTATATACACTACAATATGTATACCAAGGGCTATTATGTGTAAAACTACAGGGAACAATTTAAGTACCTAATATTAAAATTAACATGTTTTTAAGAAACTCTTTTAGGAAAGAATGATTCCTGAACATTAAAACTTACACTTAAAAGTCACCTCTTTTTCTCAATGCCACAAAGATTTCAGAAGATACTTTTATGATACAGGTAAAACTATTATATGGTCCCTGTAAAGTTTCAATCTTTCAATAACTTAAAAATAATAAAACATCCATAAAATGAACACACAAAAAAACAGTTTTCTCAGGTAACAAGTTCCTTTTTTTAATGCTTGTTCCCCACCCCCCCCTTTTTTTTGAAAGCTTCTGGCCAAAACATCAGGACAATAGTTTTAAGAATACTTGCTCTACCATGAGAGACTATGGGACTCTGAGAAACAAACTGAGGGTTCTAGAGGGGAGGGGGTGGGGGTTGGGTTAGCCTGGTGATGGGTATTAAAGAGGGCATGTTCTATGTGGAGCACTGGGTGTTATACGCAACACTACAGCAAAAACTAATGATGTAATGTATGGTGATTAACATAACATAATAAAAAAATACTTGCTCTAAAATTTTGATAACAGACCATGTGATATTCATTTTTCAT